TACATCACAGTATGTATTGAATAATTTTTTTTAAAAAATATATATTTTATTGATTTTTGAAGGGAGAAGGAGAGGAATAGAGAATTAGAAACATCGATGAGAGAGAAACATTGATTCAGTTGCTTCCTGCACACTCCTTACTGGGGATGTGCCTGCAACCAAGGTACATGCCCTTGACTGGAATCAAACCTGGGACCCTTCAGTCCGAAGGCTGACACTCTATCAACTGAGCCAAACCGGTCAGGGCTTGAGGCCTTTCTTGATAACCTGAATGTCCCATTATGTCATCCTACCTAATTATTTCAGAGTGCTTTTCACAATCTTCTCTGCTTATATTTTCCTGGTCCCCTCCCCTGTCACACTGTAATGTAAGCTCCTTAAAGGGAGAGAACTTGTCTTATTTATCATTTGTATCCCCAGTGCCTAGAAAATGTTTCTCCAAGGGTCTAAAACAGAACCTGGGACACACACTCTAATATATATTTTTGAATAGATGAATTTGATGGGGAGGTTCAGAAAAAGCTACACAAGGGAAATGGTTTCCCCAAGGAGTAGAAAGTTCAGGTCTAGTCATAGTTACTAGAAACTCATTCATTGGGAGATCAGAGGTAAGGGGCAAGAAATCTAGTCTCTAGAGGGGAATATTCGATGGAAAATAAAACAGAGGGAAAAGCATAACTTCCTACTCAGAGAAACTTTTTTTCTGTTGGTGAGTATAGGAAGCATTGGATATAGAAGAGAAAATCAGGTAAGAGGACAGAATTATGCAAATAAGTATATTAAAAAGTAAAGATTAATAAGCTAGTTTTTAGAACAAATCCAGAATAGTTTTTAAAATAATACATTTTATAGCAATTTCAAGTAACTATTTTTAAATTAATTTTTCTTTATACTACCTTCACATGCAAAAGTTGATTGTCAACTGCTATGAGTTGATGAAGATTTTCCAGTAGTTCTAAGTCTTTTATGTCATCAATATTATTATTGCTGATATTCAATATAGAGAGGGATTTCTGTAAGAAAATAATTAAATTAGCATTAGTAAACAACCTAATTAAATGCCATATATAGGAACCAGAAATCCTAATCTGTGAAAGTTTTAAGATGGTTCAGTTCAGTCTATTTTGCTCTTTAGGCAAGAAAATAAAAACCCACAAAGATTTTGTTCCTATGTTATATATTTTTTCATATGGAATGCTTAAAACTATAGTAATTGTGACATAATTGTGATATAACTTACCTCACCTATATAATAAAAGGCTAATATGCAAATTTACCGAACAGCAGAATGACTGGTCGCTGTGATGTGCACTGATCACCAGGGGGAAAGACACTCAATGCAGGAGCTGCCCCCTGGTGGTCAGTGTACTCCCACAGGGGGAGCGAGGCTAGCCAGAAGCCGGGCTCACAGCTGGTGAGTGCAGTGGCAGTGGCGGGAGCCTCTCCTGCCTCCACTGCAGCCAGCTTAGGCCCACTAAGTCAGACATCCCCCGAGGGCTCCCGGACTCTGAGAGGGTGCAGGCTGGGCTGAGGGACCCCTTCCCCCCCACCAAGTGCACAATTTTGTGCACTAGGCCTCTAGTATTTTAAAAGTTTAATCAAGGCATAAGAGAAATTTATAGAAAAAAGAAGCTAAGAATCAAGAAGCAAAGAAAGAAAAAAGGTGTCCCAATGAACAAATGATAACAATGTAGAAAACATGCTTATTTCAGCTTGAGCAAGTTATTATTTTGTGTTAAAAGTCACTAAAATTTGTACTCACATAGGAAGAAATTGTTTTTTTGTCAGTTTTTCTAAGTAGAAAACACTGACCAAGAATTAAAGAATTCAAGAAAGCACTGTTAAAGAGTTAATTTTATCTCTCTATGTAGTTTTCTCTTAACAGTCCACATGTTCAGAAGCTACTTAGAATAATAATTAACTAATTAACAAGAATTTCAACATCAGCTGTTAATGAGGACATAAATATACAATACAGCAACACTAAATAAAAGCCATCTTAAGATCTAAGGGCCAGGATTCTCTACAACGATCACATCCACACAAAGCTAACATAGAGAAGATATTTCTTGACACTTTTTAAGATTTGAAATATAGATTTAAAAGTTATGCCTTATATTTAGAATTTCAGAATCTGCTTGAATATATGCAAAAATTGAGTATGCAAAAATATTTTCCGCGGTGTTTTGTAATAAAACTATCCATTCCCACAGTGGTGTCAGTCTACTTGGATCAATTAAGGTTGAGCTCAGACACAGTTGATTCTATGGGGAGGGTAGAAAGGGTAGGATAGAAACCAAGTCACCTCTTTCTTTTCCTATTTAAAGCACTATCCTTTCATTGTTATATGTTTGGTTCAAAAACCTTATACTAGCACTGTCCTCCATTTCTTGGCCCTCTGAAATAAAATCAACAAAATCTGTAAATATAACAACTATATTCCATTGCCCAGAACTGAAAGTAGCTTTCCTCTAACAAATCCTATTTGAGGATTAGCAAAAGCCTCTGTGGTGCCCTCTGGTAGCTCAACTCATTGTGACACCTCCATGTGATGTCAGGTGACAGCTGGAGCATCAAATCCAGCGCTCCCAGATCTGTCTGCTTCTGATGAGTCATAGCCATGTGTAACACAATCTACAATCAAATCAGAATCCAGCAAAAAAATGACTTATTGTAAAGATTCTCTAGGCTGTTTAAAATTTTCCAAATGTGCACTCATTTTTCCTTAGGCTTTTTGAGTTATGATAATCACCAAGGTTAAAATTATGAGTGAATTAACATTGTTAGAACTTCATACTTTACATAGTCTTTTAATATCCTTCTTTTGATTCTTCCAATAGCCCTAGAAGCAGATACTATCCCCACTTTATAGCTGCTGAGTCTCTGAGGAATTATGTGGGAAAAATTAGTTTTAGCCCTCAAATAAACTCTCAGTTGGCCTATAAATATTCAGAGAATCTATATGTCCAAATAAACCTTCCTTAACACTCAAATATAGCCTTACTGCCAGAGATTGAAGACTTCTTGGATCAAACAGAAGCTTTTCTCCAAGGGGAAGTCTCTGACTCTCAACATGAAGCTCTCTCAGTCCTTCTAATCCTTCTAGACCCTCTACAACAGCAATGTAATTGCCTCCAAGATACCTGCAGAATAGAAGACATAATTTTAAGTAGACATTCTATGAACATCATGGTCTTTAAACACGATAAAAACATAACAAAATCATTGAACTGTGTGAAAATTATACATACAAAATGTTCTTTTTATATTGAATTAATGAAAAGTTTATATGATTTTTACATGTAATTTAGTTTAAGAAGTTTGGGTTTTTTTTAAGTGAGAGAATGGGAATAGTCCTTATTAAACTATTTACCCATACTCCTCATATATAGAGTGTAGAAGAATCACCTAGGGTTGTAGGTTTAAAAATGAAGATTTCTGGGCTTAACCCACAGAGATTCTGACTTGACTATCTAAAGAACCCAGCATTTCTCATCCCACTGTCCTCTCCCCATTCTAAGGCCTCTGGCCCACTTTTTGAGAAGCACTGATAGTTCTTTTAGTCTGGGGAAATTGGATCCACCAGTCTTCATTGTTGAATTAAAATTATTATAGGCACAGTAAATGCCTTTTTTATAATCAAGTCTACATCAACATTAATTTTATGACCCTGCCCTTTTCAGATATGTGATTCTGAAAGGCACAAAACTTGAGTTCCATGGACACTTTTCTCACTATTTGAGCCTACATAGGGATGTTTTTAGGTTTTCCTATAAGCCTTAAAGACAACCTCCTGCAAAAGAAAAGTATATCAGGCTTAGTAAAACACAAATTGTTTGATACTACATTTGAAACTATTTTGTATTAATACTACTAAAAGAGAATAAAAATTGTGGCCTATTCCACAAAACAACAGATAATGGAAATACCTGCATGCAAGAATATTACTGTAATGATGACAATTAAATAAAAGCACTTACAGTTTTTCCAGGTTCTTCAATGAACTGAGGTTCTCTATACATGAAATACAATTGTTTTGTAGGTACAGGTGGGTCAGATTTGTGGCAAAATTCAAGTTAATTATTTGACTAATACGGTTATCATACAAATATAAAACACTAAGATTTTTACAAAGAGAGAGGTCATCCTAAAAGAAAAACAAAAAACAGGTCTTACTTAATTTTTCTTGCAAACTTGTTTGTTTTTAAAATAGTTTTTCACTTAAATCATTCGTAATATTCTTAAGTTTAATATAAAAGAACAATATCTCTTCTTAGCACAGTCATAACAAGACTAGAATAAGTACAAAATTAGTTCTAGGTTTTAGCATTCTGTAACTATATCTATAAAATTATATTTGTTAAGAAATATTTTCCCAGTGCAACCAATTTTTCTTGGAAGCAATTAGGCTTCTCTGGAAGTTGAAGCATTTAAAAAATTATTGCTCCAACATTATAAATCAGGTCTTCTTAGTCTTTCTGTAGGATTGGAAGTAATTGTTGTGATTTATAATACTGAAAATTGGATGTCAGCTAGATATTCAAGAACAACGAATTGATAAACTATGATAATGCCATTGAAGGAAATACCATATAGCCATTAAATATCCTTTAGTTTCTTTAGTAATATCTTACAGATTTCATAATAAAATGAGAACAGCCCTAACCGGTTTGGCTCAGTGGATAGAGGTTTGGCTTGCGGACTGAAAGGTCCCAGGTTCGATTTCGGGCAAGGGCATGTACCTTGGTTGCGGGCACATCCCCAGTGTGGGGCGTCCAAGAGGCAGCTGATCGATGTTTCTCTCTCATCGATGTTTCTAACTCTGTATCCCTCTCCCTTCCTCTCTGCAAAAAATCAATAAAATATGTTTTAAAAAATAAAATGAGAACAGTACATTCAGTGAACCACTATTGTAAAATTATATGAATGTATGTCTAGAAAAAAGACTGGAAGGACATTCCCTAAATGTTAATAGTGGTTTTCTCTACATGGTAAAATTAAAAGTCAGTTTCTTTCTTTTTATATGTATCATATACAAATGAACACCAATTACATTTGAGATAAGAAAAATAATTAAAGGTATTTTAAAAGGCTGTCATTTCTTGTGTGCTGGTAGAGTCAGCCTAGACTGAGTAGGCAAGAGATAGAGTGAAGTTTTGCTCAAAAATATTTCAGCTTTTATTATGATCTTTTAAAATACAAACACATCTTGGGACCTTTAAGTTTACAAGCTATTCTTAGTGTAAATGACCTTACATCAGTTTGCTTTCCTCCTAACATCCACACTGAAGGAGCATTGATTGTGAGGGGCCAAAAAACTTTAAAGGGAGGCGCTGGAAAAAGCAGCCTATATATTGTATGGTGAGGTAGAGAGTTTGGGGCAACAAAAGAGAAACATGAGATTTGGGCCATTGGATTCATGAGAGAAGGATCACCAGAAAAATGGAAAAAGATATAGAATGGGACTGGGTAGGGTCTCTGAAAAAACAAACAAACAAACAAAACTTCCATTATCTTAATTGACAATATTGCCTGGGGCTTTGGTGTTTTTAAAATTCATTCATTCATTCATTCAGTAAATATTTATTAAGCACTTATAATGAGACAGGCACAGTATTGGACAGGGAATTTAGAGTGATGTGAAGAAAATAGACATAGTCCCTGCCCTCATGTGAGCTATATGTTTTCAAGAAATTTCCTCTCATCTATAGTCTTTAGCATTTTATTGTAGACTAGAGGCCCAATGCATGAAATTCGAGCAAGAATAGGCGTTCCTTCCCCCAGTTGCCAGCACCGGCTTCCCTCTGGCACCCGGGACTCGGGCTTTCCTCCAGCTGCCAGCAGGCACCCAGGACCCGGGCTTCCCTCACAGCCTGTTTCGTCGGGAAGGCTCTCCGGAAGGACGTCTGATCTAATTAGCATATTGCGCTTTTATATATATAGATTAGAGGCCTGGTGCATGAATTCATGCATAGGTGGGGTCCCTAGGCCTGGTCGGCGATCAGGGCCGATCCGAGCTGTCTTGCTTAGTCCCAATTGGGGCCAGGCCGATTGGGGCCTGCTGGCTGTGGAGAGGGACGGAGGAGGACCGCAGGAGGTTGGCTGGCCGCGGGAGGTTGGCTATGGGAGCTCACTTACCACCAGGGGGCAGCTCCTGGTCAACCGGTCATTCTGGTCATTCAGCTGTAAAGGTTGTTTAGGTTTGTATATATATAGATAATGGATACCAATACAAATGGCCTAAATGGGTTATTGTCGTCTTTAAAGTTTCCCAAATTAAAGTCAAGAACTGTCTTAACACAGAGAAAACGTAATTTCAGAGTATATCCAAGTGAACATAATCTTGTCCGATGTAACTGAAAGAGTATAATCTACATGTATATAACCATTAAAATATGTAGGAAAAAGATTTCCCTGTTAAAGTTTTGAAATATGGTAGTCACACAGTTAATTCTTACTATTTTTATATGTTAAAATTAATATTTCAAGGTTAGGGAATTACATATGAGTAATTACCTTTGAAATTATTTTCCAACATGTGCTTTTAAATCTAGTTTGCTATATAGTAATTTTTTAAAAATATATTTTATTGATTTTTTTACAGAGAGGAAGGGAAAGGGATAGTTAGAAACATCAATGAGAGAGAAACATCGATCAGTTGCTTCCTGCACACTCCAAACTGGGGATGTGCCCGCAACCAAGGTACATGCTCTTGACCAGAATCGAACTTGGGACCTTTCAGTCTGCAGGCCGACGCTCTATCCACTGAGCCAAACCGATTAGGGCGTAGAGTATTTTATGGGAACATATATATTTAACAATCACAATGGTATATTTTATAGAAAGTTAATTTTAAAAAGTTTAACATAAGCAGGAAATTAACACAATATAAAGCTGACTAATGAAAATATAGTTAATAACTATAATCAAAATATAGTTAATAAGGTATACCCTGACAATTTCTAAACTTTACATGGCTAATTATATAAAAATTAGAAATAATTTCAGAGTTCTTACAATTGCATCTATATTTCTGTCTGAAAAATTTATATGAGTTATTTTCTTCAGGTATTGTAAGGTGGTTTCTTCTTTTCTGGGTTTAAAGTTGCTGTTTTTGGCAATTAGATCCAAGGTCAGACGAACCATGATTTCTGTCTAAATCAAATTAGTATTTCAGCTCTGTTCTGATGCCATGCCAAGAAGCAGGTTTAAGTATTGCTTTATGCCCAACTTTCTAAAAATTAAAGAAAAAATGGAATATTTAGAAAAAACCATATTGACGTTTTAAGTTTCTTATATAAAACTATTTGATAGTTCATAGACATTTTCAGGGACATTTAGGTATTTTCTAAGTTTATATACCAAATTCTTTTATTAAAAAATTAAAAACACCAAAATTAGTTAAATACACAAGGCTCATTTTTAAGTCTTTTCCTCTCCCTAGTATTGAATTTTTATTGTGGGCATCTGTTAAGATACCGTTTTTCTCTCTTGGAGTAGAAAAAGTATTCTCAAGGATTATCATCTAGTGTTGTCTGTCATGTGAAGAAACTAAGGTTCAAAGATTTGGCTGAAACTACTCAAGCGAGTGGCATGTAAGAATGAGATCAGGTCTCCTGGCTCCTTTTCCCATAATATCTGTTGTGATCATATTTACTAAATCCCAAAATCAGAACAAATGGTGTGAGAACTTTGAATATATACATAGGACAGTGGTGCAAAATACTTGAAAATGGGGCTGGCTTTGAAATTTTGTTATGCTACTACAACTATCTATAATAATAAAAGCATAATATGCTAATTAGGCCAGACAACTGAATGACCTTCCGGATGACCTTCCAGACGAAGCTGGGGCTGCGAGGGCCGAGCCCCTTGCATGAATTTTGTGCATCAGGCCTCTAGTAATCCATAAAGAGGTAACAATGCAGTGTTTCTCAATCCAGACAGCCTAGTTTCAAACTTTCACTCCACTGCTCACCAGTTGGGCAATCTTGGGCATGTTACCTCAATTTCTTATAAAATTAGGCCAATATCCAAGGAATAGTATGAGGATTACATGAGATAATCATGTATAGAGTATTCTACACAGTGCCTCATACATAGGCCAATAACTGTTTGTCATCATCATCATCATTATTCTATTTTGTTCACCAATAAGGCCAACACTATTCACTATTTCATCTGGAATATAGCATGTCCCCAAAACATGCATACACACTTTAACAGCTGATAGCTCAGTTGATGTTTCTTTCTTTTTAGCTAGACTAAGCTTTGAACAAAGGAAATTCATCCTAAAATGCCACTGGAAGTTTGAAAACACAGTTGAATACAAACACTGCCTTTATAATTATTCAAAGTGTGTATACATTTTGGGGGGACACAAAAAATGTGTACAAACTTTAACAGTTTATAATTCTATTTTCACATCTTTTCAGGCTTAACTGACTCAAAATAATGGGTGAAGCTAGAATAAGCTTTGAACAAAGAAAATTTATTTGCTAGACTTTTTTTTATAGGGATACACAAAAGATAAAGTTAACAGTACAAAACCA